CTCCCTCCCCACCACCGGTGCTCCCGGTGGATTTGCATCTACCGCTGAGCGTGGCGATGCCCACCCAGCACGGCGGAGCCAGCACAGCTCACCCCGGGGCTCTGCGAGGATCCACGGCCCCACCAGTCATACCCAGAGATGAAGGGCCCCCATTTTCAAGTGACTCAGACTCACCCTTCCTTCCTCAGGAAAACCTGTGATCAGATAAAGCCATCAAACTATCTGGTAAGAATAAACAAGCTTGCATCTGCACGGATGCAGCTATACCCCTTCTAACCCCTCGCTGAAAGAGGAGGCAACGTGTCTGCTGCCTTAACCCCGTCCTTAGGACAGACTCCGCCAGCCCCAGGCGTTGATGCAGGCTTTGCTCGCGCGTGTGCAAGGCTGGGAGCTGCTCTCCTTGTGTAACTGCCCTTGCTGGAGGTTGGGAGAGTCAAATCCCAGCCGGCCCCGGCACCGGCACAGCATCTCTCCATCCTCCCGTCTCCCACTGAGCAGCGTCTGTGCTGCACCAGCAATAAATGCAGGGAGAAAGGTGCCCATGAGGGTGAGCAGAGGAGGAGCAGAGGGGGCTGCATGGGTGGAGGAGGAAGAGGGAGGGAGGGAAACGTTTAAAAAAAACCCGCAACTGCCAGCAGATGGGCAGCTGCCCCCGCGAAGGTGACGTGCTGGCAGGCGGAGGGGCTGGCGAGGAAAAGAGCAAAGGAAGGTGTGAAGATTTCCCTGCAGATTAAACCAAAACCACACAGCGTCTGCTGCGCGCTAAACCAAGCAGGGAAAACAGAGCGGGTCTGGGGTTTGCCTGCAACCCCCCAGGGCTGCCGGTGCCACAGGACCTCCCCAGCTCCCCGCAGGTCTCAGCCCTGCCGGCACCCGCGGCGGGTCTGGAGAAGGGGTCCAGGCCAGGGTGCTCCCACCCTGCCTGGGGGCCGGGAGCCCGCATCTGCCGGGGCAGCTCTGCTCCCCTCACCCCAAAAAAACCCTCAGAGGCTGGAGGTGAGGGAGCACGGCGCAAGGAGGCGGCTGCAGGTGCTGGGGGAGGTTACACCGGCCGCTCTGGCGCTGCCTTCTCCGGGACAAGCAGGGATGGAGCGGGAGCTGAGCGAGGCGGCACAGTGGGGCTGCGCGGGGCGCTGCCGGGGCCAGCCGCCCAGGGCAGGAATCGCGGCTCCGGGTTGGTGCGGCAACGTGGGGAGCAGATAGTGCGTTACTGGGAATAAACTCCCCGAGGAGTAATGAAAGCAAGTGGCTTAGGTTTAGGGAAGAGCTGAGAAGAGAGCACGGAGAGATTTGGAACTATCGAATCCAGGGGGATATAAGATGTTTCTGCCTCTGCTTGGGAGCATCCCCAAACCTGGGCTTGGGCGCCAGCCCCACCACCACAGCTCTGCCCAGGATGGACTTAGGGCTCCTGCAGACGGTCACTATTTTCCCATCCGATGGTTGAAATGGGGTCAGACGCGATGGGCGGGCGCGAGGGCTCCTGCATGGGGCTGAGCACACGCGAGGGACGAAGGTGAGCAGAGGGGAGCTGGATTCGTCGCTGCTGGTGACAGAGTGGGGCCCTGGGGGACAACGGAGTGCTGCCTCCCCTCCGCACCGACATCCCCCCCAGCCACAGCCCCGCGGCGAGGCCGGGCTCTGCCCCAGCCCTGCCCTGCCTGCCCGGCTGTCCAAGAGAGCCAGGAGAAGAGGAAACATCTTCCCGAGGGCAGCTGGCTCCGGGAGGGATTTTCCGCCGCCTGTTTGCCATGTGCTGCCGGAGCCGGCCCGTCCCCTGCTCAGGTGCTGGCTCTCCCTGGCTGTAATTTCATCCCTGGGCTCCTGTAACAGCTCTGGCCGGGCGGCACGAGGGAAGTGACCGGGGCGCAGGTCCGAGCCCCGGCCTAGAGCTGCATCCGCCCGGCGTTTCCCCCCCAGCCTTATCTGGCGGCTCCCCCCGTGACTCCCCATTTTCCTCCTTTCCCCACCCCACCCGCGCACCCGGCAGCGCTTCCTGCAGCAGGGCCAGAGCTGGGGGCTGCGGGGCACCCGGTGGGACCCCTCCCTGCCGACCCTGACTCTGCCCAGATAGGAAATCCTGCAGGAGCCGAGGGCTGGGAACAGCGGCCGAGCTCTCCCCGGGACCTGGGCAGCACTGGGATTTCGGCTACAGGTCGTGTCAGCCTGGCAGGCCACTCCGGGCAGAGGGGAAAAGCTGGGATGAGCAGGGAGAAACCCAGGAGGAGAGAGTGCAGACCACCACAAAGTGCCGCGGGTGGACACCCGTGGTGGGCACACGGGCCATTTACACCACCAAGAGGGGTTTTGGCATTTAAACGAGCCACGTTCCCCTTGGGAAGGGTGGGAGGAGAGGGCGGCCGTGGGCATCGCGGCGGGAGGGTGCTGCCCACCGTGACCCACAGCCACCGGCGTGACCCTGGCAACAACCAGGCCTGTAGGAACGCGGCGTGGTCAGCGCTGCTGCTCACACGACGGCTCGGTGACGCTAAATGTCATTCACTGCCTTTAAATAGCTTCTAATATAAACTGATTTATTGACAGCCTCATCACTCCTCATGACAAGCAATTTCATATAAATTCAAATACGGGGCAAAATGCTTCTTATTTGTTTAAGAGCATTTTGTGAATGTTTCGCCAGGGTCCTCCTAATTTTTCCTTATTTTAGAATGGGAAGCAATCATCTGCTGCTATCCCCCACCGCAGCCGCGTGGGACCCCAAAATTTGGGCTGTCTGAGCAAATTCACCACACCGGAGGTAAAACCAAAAAGAAATGTCACAGCAGGAGAAAAATGAAGACGAGCTCTCCAACCCTCCTGAGCTGAGGGGGGAATGGAGGTGGGGTTAATTCACCCAGAAAGAGCCAGGCTGTGCCCAAGCTCCGCCTAAACAAGAGCAAAACTCGGCTTAGCGTATTTAACCCAGCTAAACCTTGAATGTGGCCTGATCGTTAGGCAAACTACCAATTGCCTGACTAAACCCCAAACCACACTTCCCAAACTTCAGTAGTTATATATATATTTTCACCGCTGCTTCTGCCTTTTTCAAGCGCAGCTCCATTACATGCACTATTTATACAGATCGCATGAAACAAAGGACTCGCGTGCAGCCCCGCAATTTCTTTGAGTTCCCAAGAAAACAAAATCTTTTGTGAACAGAAGGATCTATTTCAGCTAAACCTCTCTTGTACGTTGAGTAGTTGGAAGTACGGTAGGAAAAAAAAAGGCTCAAGCTTAACTAAGAGCCAGATCAGACTGTGAAGGACGCTGGCACTACGGGAATGCCCTTATCTGTGTCTGCTGAAAAGAGAAACGGGTTTTGCCCTACCAAAAAGAGAAATGGGTTTGCCTGTTTCTAAAGGGGGTGGTGTGGGTAACGGCCAGGAAAGGTTGCAGTCGTGAAAGACGGAGATATGGGAGAAGGAAGAATCAAAATTGCTTGTCAACGTGTCAACGTTGTGCTGTTGGTCTCAGAAGAAGGCATGGCCTGGGCACTGGTTCTTCCCAGACGTACAGAGGTGAATGGCAGCGAAGAGCTGCAGAAGGAAAAGATCTGGTTGAAGAGCACCGTGCAAAACACAGAGCGGTGAGCTGCTCCGGATCCCTACCTGGGAAAGGAGGAAACACCTCAAAGGGATGAAGTGCCAGAGCGTTACATGTAAATACAGCAGAAAGCAACCCCGGAAAGAGCCCAAGCTCAGAAAAAGGGAAGCAGAGATCCCTTATTGCAGGAGGAGGGCGATGTCGGCGTCGCACAGAGATCTGCTTGAGCTTGCACGGGCACTGAAATGATCAACAGCTTCTGGGTGGGAGTCGAAGGGGCCCCAGGCGGGCTCTGGGCACTCAACGGGGTCTGCAGAACCAGAGTTTGGCTGCTGCTGGGCCACTGCAGGCAGGAGAACAGGTGCCAGACGGGACAGAGGTCGGGAAGGAAGCCGGGGATGGTGGGGATGGAGCAGCCAGGAGAGGGTCTGGGGACAGAGCTCGCTGCGGTCCCCCCACACACACCCGTGCCATCACCCCAGCACCTTCATCCTTGCCATCATCTACAGCCTTGGGTGAGCCAAAACGCACACCCCGGAGCTGAGCTCACCCAGGCCACGAGGACTCGGGAGCGGGGACCGAATTTGGCAGCCTGGATGCTTCTCCACTTGAGAGGCTTTGAAAGGGAATGTATTTTTGGAGCACTAAAGATCAACTGTTTCTGACTCCAGCCAATCTCTTTCAAGAGCAGCACCAAAGGAGGTCAGTGGGATGCGGCTGGTCAAATACTTTGTACATGAACATCATCTCTCACCCCCTCAAGTATTTACAGACCTGAGAGCATTTCCTGCTGTTCCCCCCGGTTGAATATTTGGTGTCTCTGCTTTCTCTAGCAGGATGGTGCAGCGGCCCTCGGTTAGTGGTGAAGATGTGAAGGACCACCCCAGCGCTGGCCTTCAGCGCAGAAAACAAAAACTAAAGCAGCGCGACGTGTTTAGTCACACAAATGGCAACGGATTTACCCGGGAAGCAGTGAAACAGCAGTGCACAAGGATGAGAAAAAATATGCGTGGGTGGCGGTGGTGGGGAGATGGGGTGGAAAGAGGGAGTTTTATTCTCCAGGGTTTTTTTGTAATCTTCATTCACCATATTTAGTAGGCTTGTGACTTGCCCTTGCTAGCTCATGGAGAATTCCCCCAAGTGTTTACTCCCACAACCTAGCAAATGCCTCAATACACATCATGGAAAAAATACAATCGACATCTTCACTCCCACTAGAGAAGGAATTCTAACTTGCCCGGCACAGACCGGGAGTATGTGCCTGTGAGAGAGACAAATACTGCTTCATTAGCTCGCCTCAGATGTGGTTTACTCCTCGAATGACCTGGTCAGGGCTGTGCACCACCTCCTTCCCTTCCTTCACCTAAAGAAGCTCCTGACCTTTGGTCGGAGCAATAGGGACAGGAATGTGGGTCCGTTAACCCTTTCCTCCAGCATCAGCGAGCGGCTCTCGATGTGGTTGACGTTCCCAGGATTTTCAGGGATGCAGAGCTGCCGTGAGGGGTAGGAGCAGAGCCCTGCGGAACGGCTCTCTTCCTGCTGCAGGTAGGGAAGGACGGGCTTTGGTGGTGGAGGTCCACGTCTGCCGTGTACAGAACGTGGGAACAAAATGGGGATCGCTGCGAGCAGAGCTTACAGATCACAGGTCGCTCAGGAATATTTTGCACCTCTATTTCAGAGCACAAAACTTTTGGAGGGGAAAAAAACAGAGTAAGTAGGGCATTTGGGTTTTCTCAACGTGCTTCCAAACTGACCACGTGACAAGGACACAGGTCTGCTGGGGAGCGGCTGGGGGAACTGGGGGGGTTCAGTCTGGAGCAGAGGAGGCTGAGGGGAGACCTCCTGGCCCTCGGCAACTCCCTGCCAGGGGGGGGCAGAGAGGGGGGATGAGTCTCTGGAGCCAAGGCCCCAGAGCCAGGCCCCGAGGGAATGGCCTCAAGCTGCCCAGGGCAGGGTCAGGCTGGCTCTGAGGAAGGATTTCTGTGCAGAAGGGGCTGTTGGGCGTTGGAATGGGCTGCCCAGGGCAGGGGGGAGTCCCCGGGATCCCTGGGGGGGTTGAAGAGTCGGGCTGAGCCAGCGTTGAGGGATCTGGGGGAGTTGGGAACGGTCAGGGGGAGGGTCAGGGTTGGGCTGGAGGAGCTTCAGGGGCTTTTCCAACCCAGATGGTTCTGTGATTGATTCTGTGACATGCAAGAAATCATTTCAACTTATCAAATGTCAAATCTCCTACAACTGATGAATGCAAGGTAGAGCAGAGCTGGAATGAGAATGCTTCAGCATTACTGATGATTTTGCAAATGGGACAACGCAGGGACCCAGGCAGCTTTCCCCTGTCACCGCTCCCCGGCACAGGGGACAGCGGGAGGACGGGGCACGTGAGGGCTGGCTTATCACCTCCAGTCAGGTCTCTGAGGTTCTCTAGCGAGCAGTCAGGGAGGCGCAGGGACACCGAGCAGGAGGCAGAGGTCAAGGGCACGCGCGCGAGTCCACGTGCGCTTAATTTGTGGGACCAGTGACAATGACTGGCCACTAAGCACTGGTGTGGGCCTTCAGCCTGGCAGCGGAGGGTGCGTTTGAGCTCTCGCATTCTCTTCAGAAAGGAAGCAAAGGGAACGTGTCGGGGCGGTTCCAAGCGCTCTTGTGCTACAGGAATATGACTTTTACCTGTTTTTGCAACGGCTAAAAACTCCGAGCGACGCGATTAAAGCCCTCACCTCTGCCTTGATGAAACGTGCGGTGTGGTGGCGTGCGAAGAACGTCGACTTGGGCTGGAAACACGTGGTTGTTCCTCCCTGACGTTTCTCCGAAGAGATGCATCGTTACGCTCTTCACCTCCCCTTTGCGCATCTTGTTTATGGTGCTTTGAACACCAAAAATCACACAAACCGCCCCGATTTTTCCTCCAGCTTGTCTTTTTTTTCTATTATTTTCTTTTTTTCCATGCACGTTCTTTCCTCCTTTATGAGGAGAAACCACCTCTCTCCTAAGGACAGGCTGAGCAATTGCAGTATTGACCTCAAATACGATACAAAGTTCTAATTAAAGGAGGAGGGGGTGTGATTGGCAAAAGAATATTAAAGCTTTTCAAGTCTCCTGAAATCCTTTGTGCGGAACAGCTTTGGGAAAGTCGGCCTGCCGCCACCCTCCCCCTCTTGGAGAGCGTTCCCCAGGGCAGTGCCCAGGCTGCAGCTGCTGCTGCTCTGGGGGAGTCAGCCCAGCCTGACACGCAAATAAATACTACATAAATAAATACTTTCTTCCAACAAAGACCTGAGGAAGAAACCCTGGGTAGGAGGAGAGGAAGAGAATGTACGTGCTGAACCTGAGGAGCTCTGGGATAACAGGGGGAGCTCAGTCTGTGATACGGAGGAGCGAGGAAAGGCAGGAGAGCTTATAGCTGTAGCCAGGTATAATACAGATTTTATGCAAAATAGGTATATTTGCATAAAGATATAGCTCTATTTTCAATCAGCCCCTATAACCTTCAATCAGCCACTCTAACCTTCACGTTTCAGCGTGAAGCCAAAAAAGAAGAAAGACTTAAAGCACCGAAGAATTTAACACCTGCAGGCGCAGAGGGGGATAGCTTCCCATGAAAACCGGCTTGAGCATTTAGGGTGGAAAAGGGATTTTGGCTGTTTAGTTCCGGTGCTCTTCACCCACAGGTGACAGAGACTGGGAAACGTGCATCCGACGAGGCGAACACCCAGGATTGTGTGCGCAGAAAGAGCAGGTGGCAGCAGGAAACCCCGCCTGGCGATGATTTTATGTTGCTTAAGTCTAAGAAATCGTGTCCTACGTTGCATTAACAGACAACTTCTGCAAAGTCTTCATTTGCATTTTAATGGAACTCTTTCTAGGAAGGTGCTGCTTGGACTCTGTCGCAATATAAAATAAAGAGGCAATTAAAAACATGCTGGCGTTAAAAGACATTTGATTTTCATTAATCAAGTTTATTCATAGTCTTTTCAAAATTAAAGGTATTTAGGGTACGTAGGAGGAAATGAGGGGTGGAGGAAAACACATGACGGAACATCTGTGTATTTAAATTACAGATTAAAAAGTGGAAAACACACTTTTTAGTGAGGGGACGTCCTAGAGATTAAAAGCACCTTGTAGAAAAGGATCTGAATAAAGAGTAGGCATAAAAGTCAGCGCCGAGGTTTCAACAGAAGGTCTGCCTGCTTGAAAGCCAGAGATGAAGAAAACACACAGGATGAAGGAAAGGAAACCACGGAGGAAATTTTTAAACCTTAGGCACGCAATTAGCTGGGCAATTACTGTGATTACACGCCTAAACCAGTTAACTCTGCAAACAAGCGGCCAACCCCAGTTACTCGTGCGTGTATTTCCCCAATTTTGGCCACAATCACAGTACGCAAATGTTGACAAACAGCTTGCAAACATTTTATCTGCTGGACCGACTCCTGCTTTCACAATCCAGCAACCGCAGAGATTTCAAGACAGATTCCCCTGCTCACCACAGCTATCGTACGATCTGCGCTGCCTTCCTCCGCGCTCCAGACCTATCCTGCCCTGTTAAGCTCAGTCCTTTGAAATATAGGGCAGTTTCTGTCAGATCCTTCAGCGAGCCGGTCGAAAGGGCAAAATCCTGCCCTTTGTTGCAACAAGAGGTTTTTTCATCCCCGGATCCGGTGGCCGGCGAGTAACTGTGATCTCCATTTCGCAGCGGCACAACCTCACTCTCCAGACCTCCAGCCACGCTCTCCAGCCATGAAGCCGGGCCAGCGCCCCGCTGCCCAGCCAAGCCAGGGGGGGGCTCTGAAGTCTGCAGATCTTTTATTTCACCTGTCTCTTATACACATCTCCCCGGAGCTGAGCTCACCCAGGCCACGAGGACTCGGGAGCGGGGACCGAATTTGGCAGCCTGGATGCTTCTCCACTTGAGAGGCTTTGAAAGGGAATGTATTTTTGGAGCACTAAAGATCAACTGTTTCTGACTCCAGCCAATCTCTTTCAAGAGCAGCACCAAAGGAGGTCAGTGGGATGCGGCTGGTCAAATACTTTGTACATGAACATCATCTCTCACCCCCTCAAGTATTTACAGACCTGAGAGCATTTCCTGCTGTTCCCCCCGGTTGAATATTTGGTGTCTCTGCTTTCTCTAGCAGGATGGTGCAGCGGCCCTCGGTTAGTGGTGAAGATGTGAAGGACCACCCCAGCGCTGGCCTTCAGCGCAGAAAACAAAAACTAAAGCAGCGCGACGTGTTTAGTCACACAAATGGCAACGGATTTACCCGGGAAGCAGTGAAACAGCAGTGCACAAGGATGAGAAAAAATATGCGTGGGTGGCGGTGGTGGGGAGATGGGGTGGAAAGAGGGAGTTTTATTCTCCAGGGTTTTTTTGTAATCTTCATTCACCATATTTAGTAGGCTTGTGACTTGCCCTTGCTAGCTCATGGAGAATTCCCCCAAGTGTTTACTCCCACAACCTAGCAAATGCCTCAATACACATCATGGAAAAAATACAATCGACATCTTCACTCCCACTAGAGAAGGAATTCTAACTTGCCCGGCACAGACCGGGAGTATGTGCCTGTGAGAGAGACAAATACTGCTTCATTAGCTCGCCTCAGATGTGGTTTACTCCTCGAATGACCTGGTCAGGGCTGTGCACCACCTCCTTCCCTTCCTTCACCTAAAGAAGCTCCTGACCTTTGGTCGGAGCAATAGGGACAGGAATGTGGGTCCGTTAACCCTTTCCTCCAGCATCAGCGAGCGGCTCTCGATGTGGTTGACGTTCCCAGGATTTTCAGGGATGCAGAGCTGCCGTGAGGGGTAGGAGCAGAGCCCTGCGGAACGGCTCTCTTCCTGCTGCAGGTAGGGAAGGACGGGCTTTGGTGGTGGAGGTCCACGTCTGCCGTGTACAGAACGTGGGAACAAAATGGGGATCGCT